CAGCGTCCACGCCCCTGGACCTGGGTCAAAGTGCACGGTCGCAGAGCCCCCTCAGCCTGCTGTGGGGGCGGGAGGGGGGCTGCATTTTGGCAGCTCCCGGGGAATTCACCTGCATAGTCAGCTGGGAAAGCACTGCCTTAGGGTCAAGCTGAGGGGTGAAGTCTTCTCCCAGACCCTAAACCACCGGTGGTGAAGAGCCTGGGCGGTGGGGACAGACGTGACTTTGGATCATGGAGTCATCACACACGAGCTGTGTGACTTCAGTCTCCTTCTCTGTGGTCCGGGCAGGCTAGGGTTCGTCGCTGGTGGGAGGAAAAGGCTTCGGACTTGTCGACTGCCCTGTTCACGTCTGGGAGGACGGAAGGGGCTCCCACCGAAGCTGGAGCCGGAGTAGTAACGCTCAAAATCAAACCAGATTTCCTCCAGCCAAGGAAGAAATAACAGTAATAAACAAAACCGCAGCTTCCCCTGAGCTGTCTGGGAGACCCTGGAAACCCTGCCTTGGCCATTGGCTTGCTGTGGAGTGTGTGTGTCTGTCTGTGTTCTCCATTTCCAGCTGTGGCCACTGCCCCGTGCATTGAAGACAGATAGAAGCCATTCAGTATCTTACTCCTCTGTTTCTAAACTGCGTGAAGACAGCCTCAGAGTGAGCAAGCAGCGAGCCTGCCCCCAGAATGGGGGAGCTGGGAGAGTGGCGGTTCATCACAGGTGTGCTACGACTTCCTCTCCAGGGTGGATCTTTGCAGACGAGGATTTTGAAGTCTGTGCACGAGGAAGCCCTGGGCCTCCTCTTTCCTGCTGGGGCCCAGGTCATCAGGCCTTGGCAGTGTGCCCCCGGGGAGCCCCAGGCCGACCGAGCTTCCTCCGGGCAGATGGTAGAGGGCCTCTGCCAGTGAAGATGAGGTCCCTACCTCCCGCTGAATGTGTGTGTGAGCACAGTTCTCTTCTCTTCTTATTGCCTTGGAGACATCTGCTGACTTGGTCAAAATCGCCGCAGCAAGACATGACTGATGGTAGATGAAATGAAAACTCCTCGCCCAGAGCGGGGAGGCTAGCGAGCGAGGGGTGAGGGTCCTCAGCTGGGCAGGCCAGACACAATAACACCCTCATATTTCCAGGCCATCTTTCATCCAGGGGAGCAGGCCTCAGGTGTGGAGCAGACTGGGCCAGATCGGGTTACGGCCTGGGCATCCAGCGATGGGTGCCTGCCTGAGCCTGGGGAACCCGACTAGGGGTGGGCGGGTGGGAGGCTGGCTGCTGGGGGAAATGGGATAGGCCCCAGGGCGTTCCTGGGCCCTGCAGAGCTCGGGGGAACAGGCTGGGGGTGGACAACAACGAGAGGACAGAATGCAAGGATTTGCTTTTCACCCCATACCACTCTCCTACTCTGTTAGCTTGCTGGCTCCCTCCTGCCCGTTCCTGGGCTGCATCTCTGAGTCAGGATAAATTGGCTTGTCTGTTTGGCCAAAAAGCAGACAGACTGTCCTCAGACTCCTGTTGTTAAGTGTGAACTCAGGAGGCTTTCCTGCGAACACGTCTTTCTTTTCATCCAGATGGTAACTGGCAGTTTATCAAGCGCTTTCTCTGTGCCCCAGACACCTTGCAAAGTCCTTCACGTGAATCCTTGAGGAGACAGGCTTAGGCCCCCGAGATACAGATGGGGGAGCTGAGGCACCGAGAGGTTAAATCCCTGGTGCACAATCACAAGCACTGAGGCTGGCGTGTGCGGGGCGGGCTGCTGCCTCCCACCCAGGACTTTCTCCAAACAATCCCGGTGGTGGCCTCCGCTCTCAGACAGCACCTGATGAAATCCCAGCCAGATACTTCCTGCCTGGTTGTTTGCATTCATTCATTAATTCATTCATTCACTCAGCAAGCAAGCATCCACTGAGGGCCTCCTTTGGGGGAGAGAGCAGGGAAAATAAAGAGCGCACCCCTCCCCAGCATGCATCACAGGAAAGATAAGGTTAAACGGGGGACTGTGGGAGTTCAGAGGGACCCTTATCTCCTCCAGGTCTGGGATATGGAGAGCCTGTCCACTTTCCATCTCGCAGGAGAAAAGACGGCCTCTGAGAGGACAGGTGGCGGGGCGAGGGGTCTGGGAGGCGCCTTGGCCTGGAGGCAGTCCACCAGGCTCCTAAGATTAGCTGTGCTCCTTACTATTCATCCAGCAGGTACTTACTGAGCACCAGCTGTATGCCAGGCTGAGGTGAGCTCAGGTGAGGTACACGGAGAGGTAGCCTGTAAGCCTTCTTTCAGGGCCTTCCCATGGCTGGAAGGCCGGGGCAGGACAGAGGCTGACCAATCAGTTGTCATATGCAAGTTAATAGGACCACTGCCTGTGGCCCTCACCCCAGCCTTACTTGCTGGTTAAAATCTCCCCAAAAGGTTGGGAGTGGGTTAGAACGCACAGGAGTAGCATTTTAGACTTTGGAAGGAGCCCGCGGCTTCATCCCAGCTGGCGCTGGAGGCGTAGGGCCATGCAGAGGCTTCGCTCCTGGCAGCAAGGCCAGCTCTGGGAGGCACGGTGGCTCTGGGCAGCTGGGTTCCTGCTGCTCGCCCTGCAGGGCACTTCCTGCCTGTGACCCTTCCCGGGAAGGCCTTCTCTTGGCCCTCTGCCCAGGACTCAGGTCAATGGCATCTCTACCAGGAGATCCCATTCCCACCTCCATCACGTCTCCTGGTTTATCTTGTCCTGTCCCTTGTCACAGGCTGAACCGGCCTGGGCTGCACACTCTCCAGCGGACACTGACGCCGGTCAGCACTCCTCTGCTGGCCTCGGCAGCCCTTGTCAGTTTCCCGTGACCCACTGCGCCTGTCCCTGGTCGTCCCCCCCTCCTGAATGCCCTGCTCACCTGGCAGTCGAGCACACCATGGCCTTGCCTGAGAGAATCCACACAGAACCATGGCCTCCCCTCCATCCCAAACTGTACGTAAGGTTCTGGCTGTGTCCCCCGGCCTGAAAGCCAGCTCCATGTGGGCAGCCACCGTGTGGCTTACCCACTGCTCTGCCCTCCAGCCCAGCACTGTGCCCAGCCCCCGGATGCGCCACACGATTCTCAGGGTGCAACACGAAATGAGAATGCGGGCCCTTTCTCCACAGATTATTAAGGAATGTAACGTGGCAACGGCGGAGCATTAAGCCACGTGCAGGGCCCTTATGAGTGAGGGGGCCTGGCCACCCACATTGGTGGCACACTCCTGATGCCTGCTCTCCCCGATGCCCAGCGAGTGCTCAGTGATCTTTTGCTGAGGGAAGGAGTTAGTGAGTGAAGGGCAGGTGGAGGGGCTTTCACAGAGCCTTGAGTGACAGGTGGGCAGAAGCCCATCCCAGGCGCTGGATGCCGGGCCTGCCTATGGGATCGGAATGGCGAGGACCTGCGGCCGTGCATTCTTTTCTCCTTGCCTGGCTTTTGGGCTCCCCTGTGGGCCCTCAGGCTGCCACCCTTTCCAAAAGCCCCCAACGGATGCCTGGCAGAACCACCTCTGCTCCAGGAGAGCTAGAAGACCGGGCTCCTTTGCAGGTGAGGCTTAGCCAGCCCCACATCCAGCCCCACATCCAGCCCTTGGCCTTTCACCCCGAGTGCCCCGAGCTGGCACTCTGCCTCGCCCCTCCCGTGGGAACCTCTGGCTGTGGGCTTGCTTCCTGGGGGGGGGCCTGCGAAGTGTGGAGGCACAGCTGGACTTCCACTCCACCTTCCTCACGGCCACTCTGGGCGAGGAGCTGCATGGATCACATGTATGTAGATACAGAGGCCAAGGCTCGGAACAGCAGCAACTCACTTAAGGTGCCCCTCAGGCTCCGAGCTCTCCGGGGGGCCTGTGCCCAGACCCAGTGTGCACTGGGCTCTGTCCGGGTGGGTGGTTCACCGTTGTTTGTGGGATGAACAAACGAGCGCGGAGGGAAGAGGGGAGGCCGGGAGTGGCGGTCTGTCCAGTGAGGTCCCGGACACAGACCTTCCGAGGTGAACTGGATGCAAACTGGGTGCCAGGCAGGGGCTGGTGGGGAAGGTCAGAGAGTGGGCGCGGGTCTCTGGTCTCAGGCTGAGGTGTGGCTGGAAATAAACAGAGCCCACAGTGGGAGGATGTGGGGAGGAGTTCTCCAGCTCGCCCACTTTCCTTTATACATTAAACAAGCGACTGTGCAGCCGCAGGCACTGCCAGGCTCTAGGTTCAAGTTACTGCAGGTCCAGGGCAACCAAGAAAATCACTGGCATGGCTCCCCCCCACCCCCCACCCCCGGCCTCGCCCCCGCCCCGCCAGGGTAGGTTTCTTTCCAGCGAGGGAGACAAGACAAGGAAGGCAAGACAAGCGCAGGCAGCAACTGCAGACAGTGAGAGGAGTTAAAGAAAATAAAACAAGTGTGTGTGGGAACGAGGCAGGGAAGTGACTTCAGCGATGCTGCTCTGGGAAGGTCGCTGGGAGGAGGGGGCACCTGAGTAGCACCTCGGGCTGGGGGAGGGTTGGTCAGCCTAAGCACTGATGGAGGGGGTGGGGGAGGGGTCAAGGGAGGGAGGAGGGTTCTAGGCAGAGAGAATGGCACGTGCAAAAAGACAAGCGGCTGACGAGTTGGAAAGACGCAGAGGGGTCAGAGCGGCTGAGGTAAAGGCGGGCAGAGCGTCAGGAGGGGCTGGGGGTCACCTCCTTTGGGAAGCCTTAGATTCCCACGTACCTTATACACTCCCCCAGCTTCCTCCACCGCGGCCGAACCTCAAGGGTCCGGCTCTGGCCTCCTTCCCGGTCCGCACTGCCAGTCCGGGGAGGGGAGAGCCTCCACGGATTCCTCCCACCACACCCCCGCGGCGGCCCGCCAGGCGCTGGGCACCCCGTGGGCACTCGGCAAATATTTGCAGAGCTCACTATAAGGAATGAATGAACCCATTGGGCGCAGCTAGGGGGAGGGCGGGGCCGAGGGCAGGTGGGAGGCCGCGGGCGCGGGAGGGGCCCCTGGAAGTCCGTCCTCCTCCTCCTCTTCCTCCTCCTCCCAGGCCCCAGCGCGCACCACTCTGGGGCTCCCGTGGCGGCCTCTCGTGCGATCGAGGTCGCGCAGGCCCTGGAGAGCGACCCGGGGCCCCTGCTCTCCGCTCGGGAGTTCGGAAGAGGGTGGTTCGCCGCCGCCCGAGGGCCAGAGCGCGAGGGGAGCAAGTAGAAGGAGCGCTCGCCCGCCCGCCGCCTCGCTGCCTCCCCGGCGCTCGCTCTCCCGGCTCCTAGGTTTGCTGGCTGCTCCTCCCACCCGCGTCCGCCTTCTTGCTCACTCGCTCGCTCTTTCGAACGGGTTTCCAAACCTAGCTGTGCGCCCGGGCCAGTGTGGGGCGAGGAGCCCCCTGGCCAGAACCGAGCCGGACGGGGCGGGGGGACGGTCGGGGCAGACAGCAGCGGGCCCAGGAGGGGCCATGTCCGGCGCGGGCGCCGCGGGGCCCATCTGCTGCAAGTGACCTAGCGGCGTGGACCGCTGACTGACCCCCCTCACCACCTGGGGCGGCGCGGGCCCCGGTCCCGGGTGCCCAGAGCCCGGGTCGCGCGTAGAGCCGGCGCGATGCACGTGCGCTCCCTGCTCGCCGCAGCGCCCCACAGCTTCGTGGCGCTCTGGGCGCCCCTGTTCCTGCTGCGCTCCGCCCTGGCCGACTTCAGCCTGGACAACGAGGTGCACTCGAGCTTCATCCACCGGAGCCTCCGCAGCCAGGAGCGGCGGGAGATGCAGCGCGAGATCCTCTCCATCTTGGGCTTGCCCCATCGCCCGCGCCCCCACCTCCCGGGCAAGCACAACTCGGCGCCCATGTTCATGCTGGATCTGTACAACGCCATGGCGGTGGAGGAGGGCGGCGGACCCGGCGGCCAGGGCTTCTCCTACCCCTACAAGGCGGTCTTTAGCACCCAGGGCCCCCCTCTGGCCAGCCTGCAAGATAGCCACTTCCTCACCGACGCCGACATGGTCATGAGCTTCGTCAACCTCGGTGAGTGAGGGCAGGAGGGAGGGGGTGACCGTCTCGCTCAGGAGGCGCTTTGGGACGGGGAGGAGGGGGCCGGCTCCTACATCCAGCCCACTCTGGCCGTTTGCTGTCAGTAGTGCCTGGCCGAGGCTCCCCTACGCCAGGGTCCTAGCAGACCCCACGTTGTGCGCGCCCCAGGTAGGGCGAGCCAGGCTCATCTGCCTGTGGGAGTTTTGGGGAGGGAAGGGCTGGTCCGAAGGCCCCTCCGGGTTAAGTTGGCGGCCGCACCTCTGGAGCTCGAGACGCCAGGCGGGCCGCGGCTCAGTTCAAAGCGCAGAGCTTGGTCATGTGAGCGGTGCCCGGCCCGGGCGTCCGCTCTACCTGGATTTAAAGGGCCCTGCTCGGTGAAGCTGCCTTCCCGCCCTTTCTGGGCCCCTCTCAGCCCCGCCTGGCCCTGGCATTGCGGGAGTCGCTCCCCATTCCCCGCCTTGGTGAGCTCTACCCGTCGGCTGTCCGTGCGCCCGCCCTAGCTTGCTGCGTGCCCGGAGCGCCCTGGGGCCCCTCTCCTGGCCGCCCGGCGCCCCCTCGCTCTGAGCTCTCCTGGCTGGAGCTTGGGGAAGAAACGTTGCCATTGCGAGCTTTCTATTTTAAATATTTAATGATAGGTCCCGGGCGGGCAGAATCCATTTTCAGCGTTTATCACATGTGGCGTGCAAACCGCGGCTTTTGGTGTTTGGGTGGCGCGGGATCTGCGAGCAGACGCCGCCGGGGGCGGCTGGGGGACCGGCTCCGGACTAGAGCTGCGACGGCCCCGGAGATCCGAGGCTGGGGCGGCGGAGGGGGCGCCGCCGCCTCCATCCCTGCACGTACACTCACCAGACTCGTTCAAACTCACCCCCGGCAGCGCCGCGTAAGGGCTGATGACCAAATATTTGGTTTCTCAGATAACACGCCCCGATAGCGAAGTTTCCCGAGCCGCTTTCCGGCTACACGTGTAACTTGCTGCGAAAATCCGAACGCAATCAAGACAGCAAACTCAACGCCCACGGGCGCTGTGTTAACATGGAAACAATGATACCCAAGCCCCCCCACCGAGCACTGCGGGGGTCGGGGCGGGTGGGGAAGCCGGGGTCGACCCCAATGCTTCCCGCTCCAGATAAGGTCCCTGCAGTCCCCGAGATGCCACTGTCTGTCCTTAATAATAGCCAAACAATCCGATAATGAAATGAGCTTCAGCGAGCAAGGGATGGGGGGCTTAGATGCCAAAGTAACTTCAAGAAAGGTGAAATTATACTAAGCAGCCTGTTAGAACGAGGCAGCCTCATGTCCTGATTTTGGGCCATCTCCAAGATGTGTGCAGTGGAAAAAAAGCAAGGTGCACATTCGTGAGGTTCTTCAGGCTGGTGTACCGTCCCTTCCCACTGGGAGAGACCCCAGGAACTGGAAACAGATTTTCCTGCGGGGAGGGGCAGAACTGGGGCGGGGGTGGGGGTGGAGGGGTGGGGAGTTAGGGAATGGGAGCTAGGGGTCTGATCTTTCACTGTCTGCACTTTCGTCTGTGTGGTTTTTTCTCTCGCAATGTGTATTTACGATCTATACCAGGAACTAAAGAAAAAAATCCCAAGTGCCTAGAAATAAGTAAATTAAAGCAGATCTCTGTTTCTGTTCTGAAGCTGGGGGTGAACCAGGGCCTTTCCTCTGGCCAGGGTTTATGGCAACACAGTTGGGTTGGGTACCCATGGCTCCCAGCGGACGCAAGCAGGTCGCAGTGGCTGCCTTCAGAGCCTGGCTGGGGTCATTAAAAAGGTATTTGTAAGCCCTGGCTTTGCAAATTCCGTGCACAAAGTACACTGCTGCTTATGGACCAGTAGCCAGGGCCAGACCTGGCTGCCCCACCCCCTCCCTGGAGAAGGACTAGGTTGCCAAGCGGGTGCCCCTGGGGATGTTGGGGCTGTTTGTTCCCCTTGATGGTGGGAGCAAGCTAGGACTTGTCTGGGAAGGCCGCAGCCGGGTGGCTTTCCTCCTCCGGCCGTAGGCACACCTTTCAACCCCGTTAGTTCCATTGCTTTAATCTTGAAAGGACAAAGACGGGCTTGTCTGAGCCTCTTAATGAGTGGGGCTGGCTTTAGGCTTTGTGGGACAGTCCCGACTTTCTCAGGTCTTGCTTTCTGGAACATCATTCCAAATTAGAAGGCAGAGTGGCTTTTTAACAGAGCGCGCCGACCTTGTTTTCTTTCTTTCTCTGCCCCTAAAACTCGAGGTGATTAGTGGGGTAAAAACCTGGAGTGCAGTTTGGCGGGACGCTTCTGTAGCTGTTTCTAGGCTTGACCTGTTTCTGCTGAGGAAGGGGGATAAACTGCCTGTCCCTTCCAATCTGTAGTGGTCCTGGAATTTCTCCCGCGGGAGGGGCTGGGGGAGGTGAGGTGCGGGCAGTGAAGGGGGGGGCGGGGCTCGTGTGGAAAACTTGCCTGGAAGTTGAGTTTGCTGAGAAAACACTTGATATTTCCTTGGATTGCAAATCATGGATCTGTAACATAGAAAGTTTTCTAAAGGTGTGATTAGTCTCACACTGTACCTAAGAGTGAGAAAATGTCACTTGTCCCTATCAAACCATTACTTGTTATCATGCGGGGAGACCTGGGGGGGACTTTGGGGGCTGTTGATGGAGATCCTGTGGCTGGGGGTTGGGTGGGGGGGGGGGCTGGCTTTCTCCATGGCCCTGCTGTCCTGCAGGGCTTGGGAGACCCAGCCTGGGTTCTGAAGGCTTTTGCAGACCTGGTGCGTTTGTTCTTCCTCCTGTCTGCAGCCAAACTGGGTTTTGTTCCTATAAGTCCTTGGAATTCAAGCTTTTTGCCAGGCTGAGTGGGATCTACACTGGAGAGGGAACCAGAGGAGAATTCATGACAAAACCAGGTGCCGAGACAGAGGACTGCAGACCGCACCTTATGACAAAGACCAGCCTGCACAGTAAAGCCCAGTTGGTCGGATGATGCTTGAGATTCTGGGACTGACATTGTCCCATCGTCCCAACCTGAGCCCTTTGAGTTCAAAGGCGAGATGTGTAAACTGGTTTGGATTAACATGGCCCCCCCCGCCCCGACTCCTCTGTGGAGACTTAATTTTTGGAATTTAAAACAGGCTACCTCCTCTCAAATAGTCCCCAAGCAACGTGAATTCTGCCGCCGGAACCCAGAAATACTCTCCCTCCCGCCCCCCCGCCATTCTTTCTTTGGAGAAATCCAGCAGCTTCTTTTGGGGACCTTCTAGAGAAGCCGACTGGCATGAGGGGTGTGCAGTGCATGTTTATCTCTGGTTCAGGCTCTGGAGGAACGAACTTTGTTTAATCTTCGAGGCTAAATTAAAAAAAGAGAGAGAGAGAAAGTTGGAAACCTATCATTATCGGGCTCCGCACATAAAAGTGGCTTTTGTGGATGCAGCGGAGGGGGGGCCGGGCCCCGTGCCGCTTGACTGTTCCTTTGTACCATCTGGCGACCCTTTTTGTTGACAAGTGTTTGGCATTAAGATCTCTCCTTTTGCCCCTTAAAGAGCAGGCCCTACCACTGTAGAGTATTAGAAAAAGATTCTGTTACAGTTTAAAAATTTCCTTCAGGGAGTGCTTCGGGAAGGGAGCACGGGCCGCAGGCATCTGCAGCTGTAACCTGGCTTGTGTTAAGATTTGGAAGGGCTGTTCCACATTCCAGGGCTCGGAGCTCGGCCTTCACTGGTAAGCAGCCAGAGGTTAATGTAGATGTCACACAGGCCGTCCCTTCTCTCTCTCTCTCTCTCTCTCTCTCTCTCTCTCTCTCTGCAGAGCGCGGTCCCTACCGGAGTGCGCCAGCAGCGGTGTTTTCAGTAACCCTTTCCCCATCGCTTCTTTTAACCCTCATTTTCCTGCTTCTGTAAATCAAAGATCTGCCCCACCACCACCACCCATCACCGCCCTCTCTCAAGGATATTATGTGACCTGGATTTGAACTTTTTGGATCTTCTTTGAATTTCTCTTCTGGAACTAAAGCAGGTTAAGGCTGAGCCCTGGATGCCAGCTCGGGTGGCTATTTTTAGTTTTTATTCCAGGCTTGTCATTTGGTTGGGGAGTGGCCCATCGAAAGGGTGAGGGCGGTGGCCCAGATACTAATCGATTTCAGGGGCAACAGCGGGACGATGCTGTGGACACAGGCAGAGAAGCTGCCGCCTCCGGGACGCCGCTCTGTCGCGCTCCGGCCCCGGGGCCCCGGGGCCCTGAGCCCGGTAGCGGCTCTCGGGCCTCTGCAGAGAGAAACACAGCTGGAGCGCGGTCCCCGGCCACCCGAATGCCTGCGACGTGAGTGCATGTCACATGGCTGCTGAACTCAGAGACAAGTGATGACTTCATCCCAGGGAGAGTCCCATCTAAGTTGATTGATCACTCCTATCACTTTAATACCCCCCCCCCATTCGGTAAGGTCATGTTTGGCCCAGCGCAAGACTCGAGTGTCCTGATCCTCCCCCCAGGCCCCACCCTGCCCCACCCTGACCATCCGATCAACCAGCTGAGCCCTTTGCCTGGAGAGTCCTTTGCACCAAACGGCTCCACATTAATTTTTTTGCAATCACTCCTCAGACCTAGCTGGAGGCTATTGACACACTCTGGTGGGTTTTTTGGGGGTTTTTTTGTTTTTGCAAGTTGCTGCAACCGTTTCACCTTAATGCACTGCGGCCATGTCACCGGGGGCTAGAGCACAGGCAGGGATGTGTGGGACCTGTCATGTATTGTCGGAAGGAATGCGAGGGTCAGCCTTTAAAGTGCGGTGGTGGGAGAGGCCTGCAGCTGTGTACACTTATTATAAAAGATTTAAGTCCCACTGGTAAAATCAATATATTGAATTGCATGACCCTCTGCTTTTAATTAGTTTAAATCAAATGCGCCGGTGCCATTCGCCTCCTCTCGCCTTCATGGGGTGAGGAAATACCAATATTTACACAGAAACTGTTAATTTGTGGTGAAAATGATAACACATTTAGCTTTACACACCCAAATTGCCCCG